AAATCTATTCCCTTGAAAGTCAAGACCTTTATTCGATCAAATTACGGTACCCACCCTAAATTTAGAAACATCCAAAAAAACTAAATGTTACAGTATCTAATAATGATAAGTTAAGTATGTTTTTGTTTTCTTCAGCATAAAAAAGTTATTTTAAATTAAGTAATAGATATTTATCAATTCTTTTTTACATATTAAATAGATTATTTTTGCAGTATAAATTGACAATTTATTATTATGCCATTTATAATTAGTTTATCTTTTAATTGACAATTTATGGTTATGTTATTTTATAATTTCTTTTTATAGAAGTTATATCAATATTATTAGGTAATTTAATAATTCATTTTAGTTATCATTTTATTCGAGTCGATCTCAGTATCATTTTATGGATTGCTATTTCAAGTATTAATTATGTTGGTTTTCTTATGTATAATAAATATTCAATTTAGGTGGTCTATGAGCTCTTCATGTAATGTTAATATTTTCTTTTAAAATATTCCCATCAATATATTACAATATTATTTACTATTTTAACTTTTTTAACAAATATTTTAGGTATATAGAACTAATCAATACTCACTAAAATATAAACATAATATAATAAATACTAATTAATAAAAAATAGAAAAATAGTAAAAAAATTTCGACTCATTAAAAATGCCAAAGTATATTTTTTAATAAACAATATCATTTAATTAATCAATCATTTGCACTAGATGTAAAAGTGAGACTTATTCCCTCTTATTGTATACTTGTATTTGCTAGTAATTGGTCCAACTTTGTGATCAGTGTTTGCTAGGACCGGTCCTAGGATTTTTTGTCTCCGGGACGAAATGACATAATAATGCTCTCTTTTTATATTGTCAAACTATAAGGATTGAATGTATGTTGTAATTTTATAAGGCAACAAATCATTCATACTTCTTAAATACAACTTCATTAGAAGTGAGATCATTAACATCAGTTTCAACATGTTTTTCAATATATTCATTAAACTTGTTCTTACTAATAACACCATACTAGAAGGGGTACTTTTGGTATTTAATTCTTTGAGTTTGTTTTTTTGAAGTTGCTTTTTGGGAGTGGGAGGAATAAGGTTAGTTATTAATTTGCTACTATGGAAATTCCGTAAAGAGTCTAGCATCTCTAATAACTAGAAAGTAGAACTTGGAGTCCCTTTCAAATTTAACTAAAGATTAAACTTTCCATTTGATCTGTTTAGGTTTACCTCTTGTATTTAAACCGGTCCACACCACAAAGACAATTAAACAATACATAAGCATTCAAAATAAAACACGATATTTAAACCAGTCCACACCACAAAGACACTTAAACAATACATAAGCATTCAAAATAAAACATGATATAAGCTTTCTAATTTCTTTATGTTAGTAAATTGAAACATTTAGAGCTATAGACAAATAGCATGTGTCATTTCTACTTCAAACCCTACATAATTGTTGATCAAATGCAAAAAAAAAAAAAAAAGTAATAAAAGTTTAAAACAAATAAAAATTTCCCAAATGCCAATAAACAGATTACTAAAAAGGATGACCATTTGATAGATTATACCAAGTAATCAACAATAATTATGTTAAAACCAAACAATAAATAAATTAAAAGTCAAAAATTGAAATCTTTGAACCAAAAAAATAATAAATAATGAATACTTAAAACAACAAAACGTGAATTTTTTTTAAACAATTACCGTAAAGCTTTACTTTAAAATCATCCTCTTTCGAGTCGACTATCAGCTCATCAGTAAGACATTAAATTCCTTGCGGTTTTAGGTCTCGTAGCCAACTAAGATTTAGTAAAAGTAGTTCATTCTTTACATTTTGTTAATGCATGCTGTATGTTTTGCCCATTAGCGTTTACGATTCTTGAGGTTACATACGATATTGCGATCAATTTGAGTTTAGGTTTCCTATAAATTGGTAAGAATCATATTCAAAATTTGTCTTGTTGAAGCGTTTATTTCAAGTTTTAAATAAGTTGTCAAATGGATCTGTAAATAGATGGTTTTTATAGAAGAATCTTTGTGCAAAAATGGGAAAGATTTTCTATGATTTTGATTTGTTTGACATTGAGAAGTCAAAGTTTGACTCCGCATGTAGCAACAATACAAAGAACATTTTCTATTGCATCAACCACTTGTACCCTATGTAACCAAAGAAGAAAACGACTCCGACGATGATGGGAGTGAGTATACAACTGTTAATGGATTTAACTATCGCTGGTATCTCGCTGATGATCGGATTTGGGATTTTCGCTTTTGTTGCTTCGATTCTCTCTTCTGCAGTGTTCTTTCACAACGCTAAGGCTCAATACTCTTCGTCTTCGTGATCACCGGTTCAAGTTTATGAGTATAATGAGGCTTAAGTTTACATATACTATGTCTAATTTGTTTAAATATGTATGTTGATTGATACCCAAAAGTTTAAGTTACAATAAAAATTGATATGATCGTGTCTAAATAAAATTTCCAGGGTTAAATATCTTGAAATTTTACTCATAAAAACGTGTGGGTAAATTCATGCATTAATTACCCATGCATTTGTCAGCAGTGTACGTGATTGCTTTAATATGCAAATTTTTTTTGGGAAACTGAAAACATTTTGATTCATCATCGCTACCAAATTAAACAAACCACACGCTTAAAGATATGAAGGCTGAATTATAGAATTGCCGCAAACTAGACCCCTTGCAATATTAGGTTTTGCTGATTCTTTATTTGGGTTGAGATATATTTGGTTCCATTAATATGTTGAGCGACAATTAATCTACAGTATCTTGACGTTCATATGGAATCGTATAACAATATGTGGTAAGTCTGAAACAGAACCTAGTCGTGTATAAGGGTAAATGATGAATAGAGAATAATATGAGAAAAAGAAAAGACGCACACCTAATGGAGACACAATGCCAACCATGTTCAAGCTTCTTATGTATCCATGTTTATCATTGGACTTTCAACCTTTTCAATATATATACGACTGAACCTATGGCATATGTATTCATCAAACATATAAAGGAAAAGGCCAAGTGTACCTCTGAGATCCTCCGAACACTTCATTGGGATGTTTTATTTAGGATTTCTACTGAAGTGTTTGGGGGAACTCCAAGTGCCACTTGACACAAACAAACTATTGTCTTGCACATTCCTTAGAATACATCTGAAGTCATCTTCCTAAGTGTATTAACTTATGAAGCTGCAGTTATTTAGGAATCTTTGCTTAGTGGTTTTTATATACCCCATGCTCCACTTGAACCCTATAGGTTATCATGTCCTCAAACTCATATCTAGCTGATATTCTTATTGGATCTATCCCTATCAATCAAAGGAGGAGACGCACTTCGGCTCTGCCTCAGAGGAACAATGTCATACATGACCTAATTCTATGTTAAGGAATCCCACAACTAGTTACATTTGGCCATTTCATCTGTATGACGGTATCAATTTTCACTACTAGAAAACTAAGTAATTACCTATAGCATAATTGGTAGTAAATCCGTAGGAAAAAGGCATTACCTACAGATTTCCTACAAAAAACGGGTTGTAGGGAAAACCCTCGTGGGTAATTTTTTCCTACAAATTAGCTACGAACGTTCCTACGCATTTCCTACGGAATATTCTGTTACAAATTTAACTACGGAATACCTACGGAACACGTTAACTACAGAGTACTTACAGATTACCTACGGGTTATTTAGTTACGGAACTCCTACAAAATACATACGGATTATTTTCTTACGGATTACCTACGAAATAATTTTCCTACAGAATACCTACCAAGTACTTTACCTACGGATTACCTACGAAATAATTTTCCTACAGAATACCTACCAAGTACTTTACCTACGGATTACCTACATAATGATTTTCCTACAGAATACCTACGGATTATTTTCCTACGGATTACCTGCAAACCGATTTTCCTACAGAATACCTACCAACTACTTTACCTACGGATTACCTACAAAATGATTTTCCTACAGAATACCTACGGATTACCTACAAACTGATTTTCCTACAGAATACCTACCAACTACTTTACCTACGGAATACCTACAGATTTTATTGGATTTTATTTCCTACTGATTTTCTATGAGCTTTTTACCAGTTTTTATTGCTATATTAAATTTAGGAATTATAATTTAAAAAATATCCAAATTTTCTGCTAAAAAAACCAAATAAATAATTAAAATAATAGTCAAATACCATTACATTCATTACCATTAACATAGTCACTAATATGCCATTCATACATTCAAATACTCAAAATACCATCACTAATTTAGTGTTCTAAAACAAAAACTAAGAACTACTTGTTGGATTATCGGAAGGATTAATTTGTTTCATAAAGGCCGCCAATTGTCGTTGCACTTGCAATTCCATTTCATTTCGCATTTGTTGCATTTGCAAATTCATTTCACTTTGCTTTTCTTCCATGGCTTGTTCCATGTTTGACATTTTTTGTCGCAACTCATTTACCTAAATATAGCAAGACAAACAATGCAGTTAGTAAATGTAATTAAACTTTAAACCATGATAGCAATGTACTTTACTTTTAATTCAATATAAAAACACACTATTGCTAATAAAAATGTACATTGTTTTTAACATTCATAATAATAACTTTTTATATACATAATAATAACATACTATATTTTTATCCATTATACCATTGTACTTTACATTTCCAATCCATAATATCAATATATTTAAATTATTATCAATAACAACAATTTGCTTTACCAAATATCAATAATAGCAACATACTATAATTTTCATCCATTATAGCATTATGTTTTACCTAATTTAATGATAGCAAAAAAGTATCATTTTTAACCATAATAACAATGCACTTTACCTAATATTAATAATGATAACATATTTTAACTTTCACCCCTAACAACAATGTACCTTACCAATATGAACATATATTTTTCAGCCATATTAAGTACCTCTTTACTTGATTTTTTTTCTCTATAATATATTATGTAAATAATAGTACCTCCTGTTGTGACTTTGCAAAGTCAGCAGAAGTTGAAGTTGACTCATAAGAATATGCACCCGTCATCAGAAAGTGAAGATCTGAGTATCCTGCCCCATAGATAGGACCTTTTCGTTTCCCGCCTTTCCTAAGCAATTGTGTTTGGGTCCACAATTCAGGATCATTCACATTATGTTGAGTCGTATCATCACCATATTTTTGAGATAGGGCTGTGTTATATGATTCCTACAACATACCAAAAGAAAGCTTTTGTTATTGTACTAAAAAGTAAAAACTAATATTAGTAAATATATAAAAAGATAAAGACAACTTACGATCGCCACTCTAGATGTCTCATTTACAAAATCCACTTGTGCCTCTTTATCGCCCCCAAAATATATTTTCTTTGATTCGGCGGTAAGATGTGTCTTATAATAAAGATCAATGAATGAGGGGTCTTCACCCGTCGACTGTTTCTATATAAACGACACAATATAATTGATATAATTAGTGTTGAAAGAAAAATGTATCACTAAAATCAATAATTAGGATTATTTACCAATTTAAGACGGTGCTCCTCAAATCCAATGCTACCACCCGTATGTCTGGCTGCCCCCCCAGAATCAGTGTTACGGTTGTTTTTTCCGCTTTTGGACAAGTTTTTCCACTCATCCGTGTCCCATTTCTGTAATATATATATATATATATATATATATATATATATATATATATATAATACAAAATAAAAAACAACAAATAAGCAATAATGTATTAGATTCCTTGCCCTGCACAAACGTCGCCAAACATCTATATGTATTTCAGGAGGATTGTAATTTGCAAGAATCTCAAAGTTATCATTAATCTCTGCGATAACGTGGCCAGCTTTTCTTGCAGACTTTACCGATGCTTCCCTAGCATCCCTCATTCTACCCCTGTAGCGATCTTTCAGTGTATTCTCAAAACCTTCACGAATTAACCCTTCTTCATTTGGATCCCACCGGTATTGAGTCTGTAAAAAATAAAAAGTAAAAGTTTAAAATGCAAAATAACAGTGAATGAGAAATAGATAATAAAAATAAATAACTGATATATTACCCTAAAACGCTCAAACATTTGAGTGACAACTTCCTTCGGAATTTTTTTATAAGTAATCCAAGGTTCATTTATAGACTGCCAAAATATCTTTACGATCGTCCGATGAATACTTTGTCTCCCAAACCTACAATATTGAAATAACCATATAAGGATAATTATAACATCAAAAATAGTAAATTTATAATAATTAAAAAAAGACTTACTTGTACCCCTTTCGTGTGATAAATGGCCTATGAGAGCCATTCGAATCTGCATCATTTGATCCACCATGTGTACCTGAATAATGGGGCGTCTGAACCATTGGTGATTCAGGCTCATGCACAGACTCATGACCATGCTCATGCTCATTTTCATGCTCAGGCCCATTATAGAAAAAATCACTAGCAGGGTCTTCATTGTTGTCTGTCATCTCATAACCATATGCAATACCATTCCCAACATTCTGTACCACCCCTGTATCTGCTATAGCATCAGTCAAGCCCATGTTGGTATTTATGTCACCCATGCTACTACTCCCTGAGAATCCTGACCTTGTCGTCCTAACTGAAGTGCGTGAAAGGCCACCCGACAAAGGGATGCGTGGAAGGCCATTAGGGCCGGGTGATGACCTAGCTCCCGATACAAAACCACCGCGTGGAAGGCCACTAGGATCAAGCAAAGGTGATGACCCGGATCCTGGTACAAAACCACCTGTAAGAGGGATGCGTGGAAGGCCACTAGGATCAGGCAACGGTGATGACTTGGCTCCTGGTACAGAACCACCTGTGAGATGGATGCGTGGAAGGCCACTAGGATCAGGCAAAGGTGATGACCTAGCTCCTGGTACTGAACCACCTGTAAGAGGGATGCGTGGAAGGCCATTAGGATCAGGCAAAGGTGATGAAATGGCTCCTGGTACAGAACCACCTGTAAGAGGGATGCGTTGAAGGCCACTACGGTCAGGCAAAGACGATGGCCTACCACCTGACGAAGGACGAACCGGAAAAAGGTTACGTGCTAGGCTTTTATCCGACATGCTGCATTTATATATATAAAATAAACAAAAAACTATCTATATTTGTCTTTAAGCCACAATTAACATCATTAAACAAATACATGGTATATTAAACATAATACACACATATGGTGTGTATGTAAATGCGTGTATTTATTTCTATTTATGTTTAGAAAATAACTTCGATTTAAAAAAAAAAAAAAAAAAAACTTCTAAATGAGTAATGGTTTCTAACGAGGCATATATTTGTATGTAAGTTTATGTTATGTATAAATCGGTCAAAAACAAAGCAATTAAAGTATAATTAAGTTTTTAAAAAAATAAAACGGAAAAAACGACATTTGATCCTTGTAAAATAGAAAAATAAAAAAAGATTGTAGGTAATCTGTAGGTATTTTGTAGTCAATCTCTTACGTCAATAGTTCGTAGCTAATCTGTAGCGAATTACCTACAGAATATCTACGGATTTAGTTCTGTCATTATTCTGTAGCAATTGTGTAGCTAATTACTAACGGAATACCTACGGATTCTCTTCTGTAACTATTCCGTAGCTATTTTGTAGCGATTCCGTTACTTAATTAGGGTTTCTCATTCCGTAGGTATTCCGTAGGTATTATGTAGGTAATTACCTACATAAAATTTCCGTAGCTATTTTTCTGTGGCAAAACCTTTTATTTTCTAGTAGTGTTTAGTAATTAATATTTCTTTTCATTATTTGGTACCACCTCAAAGCTGCCATTCTTCACCAATTTTGAGGCATCCAACTTCTGTGTGACAGTCGAAGAACCCTTTTGATGGACCATCAGACTTTTTATTAAGGCAAGTATACCGACTCACAATGACACACTACTAGATGCATTTTATACATCATTTACATACCTAACTTAAGGAGTTGCATTACGTTAGTCATCATAACTCATGTATTTCACATCATAGGGATTTTTTTGTATATTGGTGGAACCTTTTTAGTTTGCAAACATTGCTGTTGATTTCCAGGGATGCTTAGGATGTTGCTAGGGGGTTGCAGTTTGAGTCTCTTGAAGATCATAGTTGTATTGAAAATGTTGAAAATTTTGAAGAAAAAGAAACAAGCAAATAGAATGCCACTCGTTCAGCCAAGTCCACTTTCCTCTTAGCCTCCACTTGACCTAGCCGATCAAGAAAAACGATTTTGTGTTTTTAAAATCCGTATGAACAAGTGGAATTATAGGTAGATCCACTCGATCAAGTGGAATCGTGAGCTTTAAGGCTTAAAAATACATTCTTAGGCCATCTTCAATGCATTGAATTCTCAAAGTTCATTGGATTGTGACATCTTAACATCGACATCAACATTCCACTTAGAACATCTCCAATCCAATCTTATTTTCCATTATTTTTCTCATTTCTTCCCCAATTCCTCTCAAACCCTATCTTATTTATTCTCTCATTTTGAGGGAAATGAATAGTATAACACCCTATTTGGTGTTATACTATTCATTTTCTCCAAAATGAGGATGAACTTTGAAGTGTCATTTTTAGTTATTTTTTTAATATATTTATATATTTATGGTTTTTTTTTATCTACTAATTATAATTTAAATATAATATTTAATACTTATAATATTGTGTTATATATTAAATTATATTAATTAATTATAAATATAATTTTTTTTGTTTATCAAATTCATATTAAAATTTAAATAGATATTAAAATTTTAAAACACGATAAAATATTTTACAAAAACTTATAATTAAGTATTATAAATATATTATTATTAATTTAATATTATTTTAATGAAAAAAATATAGATTATATATTTGTTAATTTGATATTAATAACAACAAATAATATATCAATTATACTATTGAATTCTTTTTTTCAGTCATGAGTGGCTAAAACTTTACTTTTGCCAATTTTTATTCAACATTCCACTATGTGTGCTTGATTTTGTGGATTTGACGTTTTGGATCTTCTCGCTAATCTAATAATTTTAGTTTAGTTTTAATCAAAGCACTTGAATATGCCTTTTTGAAAACTGACCACTTGAATTTGGAGAACTAATATGATATTATTAACAACAAATAATTTGTCAATTATAGTATTTAATTATCGTTTTCAGCCAAAAGTTGCTAAAACCTTACTCTTCCGAATTTTTATTCAACATTATGTGTACTTAATTTTGTGGATTTGACGTTTGGATCTTCTCACTAATATAATAATTTTAGTTTTATTTTAATCAGTTTGAATTACCATTTTCCTTAATTGACCACTTGAACTAGTTTAGATGTATCATTTGTAGTTGATTCATAGAATTAGTAATTGTTTTATAAATTAACACAAGTAACAAAAAATGAGTTAGTTCATCGATTAATTTGCATTGTAAAATAGAAATCATATGTTTTTATGTTTTCGAGCTCACAAGAAGTATTGAATAGTGTTTTTGGAAATTTGTATTGTAATTATTGCAAGTTTTCAATCAAAATTAATCTAACTTGTTGGATTGGATAAGTAAAATTGGCGTTTGTTAAAGTGGTTATTTAAACTAATATTTTGATATGTTAAGATCAAAGACTTCGACCCCTACTACACAATCTTTCGGATAATCGTTTAATTTTTTTTTTTTGGTTATATACCAAGCTAATCATTTGTTGCAAGGATATTAAAATAATGATTATGTTTGTAAGATCGTAAGTTCCTATGAACCAACCTAGGTAAATCGATCTTAATTTAACTTGGATCGTTTTTTGCAGTGGTGGATATTAGAGGAGCCCGGGGGTTCCGGGCCACTGCTTCGATTCCGGCACGTAGTGTAATTTTTTTATGTTTTTTTTTTCTATTATGTGCATCGGCTTAATATACGAGCGTCACTACTAATTTAGATTTTTTCGGAAACTTTTTTTAGTGTCACCCCTACTAAAACGTTCTGCGTCCGCTACTGGTTTTTTGGTAAAATTGTAGGACCGGATTGTATGATGTATGATTTTTTTAAAACTAATACTTTTATTGGACTGGTTATGTAGAATACTCATTTACTGGTTATGTAGAATACTCATTTTCAATTGTTTTTCATTAAATGATGTATTTGATATTTATTGTTTATGTTTTAAACTTAAAGATCTAGTATACCCAGTGGTCATTATAGAATGATATATCTAATAATATATAATCTTATAGGGTCACATCTTATAGTAAGTTAGCATCAATTGATTATTTATTAGTATAATTTGAATATTAATAAATATATCAACACTTGTATTTAATTGGATAATTATTATTTCATGAAAATAATATTTTTCTAATTGAGAATTTGTTATTTATGGAAATAATATTTATTTGAGAATTAACATGTTATGAAATACATCATAAAGTATGATAATTTAAAAGTTATATTTATATCTTAATAAACCACTTAGAGTTTATTTAGATAAAATGTAGTTTTATATAAATGAGATATTTATATATGTGTGACTAGTTACATGTTATATATATATATATATATATATATATATATATATATATATATATATATATATATATATATATATATATTAGGAATCACTTTATAAAAGATAATGTTTTTATATAAAGTTGGTATATACTTATATATAACATCTAGACATGACTTTATGTATAAAACACTCCATACTTTTGTTCTTGTCGCCCTATGACCGATTTTTTAACATGATGGTGTAAGATTGCTTATGATTATTTTAATGCGTTACACTTTGTTTGTTAGATATGTTCTTGTCTCTGTTTTAATTATACACTTAATTAATTAAATAAAACCATAAGGGTGTAATTTGAACTTTTCAAAACTAGGGTTTTAGAATTTAATATTTCAAAGCTAAACTTTTAATCAAAATTTTAAAATTTTCAAAACTTGAGGACAAATTTTGAAACTTTTCAAAATATTAGGGTTTAGAATTTAAATATTTCAAAATTAACTTTTAATCAAAAATTTAAATTCCAAAACTTGAGGGCATGTTTTGAAACTTTTCAAAACTATCTAGATCAAATTACAAATAATTCATTTAATCAAATAATTGGTGATTATCTAATTTTGACCTAATTCAATTACTTGTAAGATAATTCAAATCAAAACCAAAAATAATTAATAATTATCTTATAAAACAATTAATTATCTAAATTTTGACAATTATCTACTATTTGGATTAGGATAATCAATATCAAACATAAAAAATCGGATATTAAGTGTTAAAAACATTTTTGGTAACTTTCCCAAGCCAAATCAGCAAAAAATCCCAAAGTTTCCTCTGTCTGACCCTAAGACTCGCTAAGTCAGTGAGGTAGAGGACCAAAAACTTCGATTTTCAAGCAATGAATGATTAAACAAACATCAAATACATCAAACAAATAGCCTAGAAGTGAGATCATTAACATCATCTTCATACTTCTTAAATACAACTTCATTAGAAGTGAGATCATTAACATCATCTTCAACCCGTTTTTCAATATAGTCATTAAAATTGTTCTTGATAGCAACACCATGCTAGAAGGATACTCTTTGTATTTAATTCTTTGAGTCTGTTCTAGGAAGTTGTTATTTAGGTGTGGGAGGAATAAGGTTAGTTATCAATTTGTTAGTATGGAAATTCCCTAAATAGTCTAGCATCTTTAATAACTAGAAAGTAGAACTTGGAGTCCCTTTCAAATTTAATTAATGATTAAACTTTCAATTTGGTGTGTTTGGGTTTACCTCTTGCATTTAAACCAGTCTACAGCGCAAAGACAAACAATACAAAACCATTCAAAATAAAACATGATATAAGCTTTCTAATTTCTTTATGTTAGTAAATTGAAACATTTAGAGCTATAGACAAATAGCAAGACAAATAGAATGTGCCATTTCTACTTCAAACCCTACATAAATGTTGATCTAAAGGGCAAAAAAAAAAAAGGTAATAAAAGTTTAAAACAAATAAAAAATTCCCAAATGCCAATAAACAGACTACTAAAAGGGGCTGACCATTTGATGGATTATACCAAGTAATCAACAATAATCATATTAAAACCAAAC